TGGATACTACGCAAGTATATGTATCGTTATCAAGTAATATATGACTTTTTGATTAAGACCTGAATATCGAACCTATAGGGAAAATATGCAATATGCACAAATTTTCTATTTTAAAAAAAAGACAATTACTTAAAACTATAAATATTTTCTCAATAAGTAAAATTCAATTCTTTTTTGTATTTTAGATATTTTGACAAAACAATAAAACTTCTAAAGATAACTTGAGTTTATATAAAAGAAAAACACTTGATATGAAAATATATTTCTCTGTATCATGAATCAGTAATAAGTACAGGATTTTTGTTGTGGAAGTATGCAAATTGTGTTGTGCTAAATAAGAGCAATAATATTCTTTATCCTTACTAGAGATGTTATAAAGAACATTAGCTAATTTAAAGTTTGAATAGTTCTGGGAAGATACCAGCTCTCACTCTAGAGTTCTCTCGATTCCCTTTACTTAGGGGCTAACATCCCATATCAGAACCTAAAATAATAAACCAAGTTGGGGGCTTTAACCTGTCACATTAAACTTCTCTAACTCTACACCCTTCAAAGTTTATTTCCCTATTTATTTGCACTCAATCATATGAATTACATTCTCATTCATACAACCTCATGTGATTCTTTCCAATTATTGACAGCGACAATACCAGCCCGGTTCTTACATGTTCTTACAACAAATTTTAACATCTGGATAGGCCAAATCAAGAAGTAAATGAAGTACATGGATTTAAATCATCACAATTTCTTCCAACATTAAAGATCAATACTCTCCATAACTTCCATCCAACACTTTTCATTAGTTATCATTTTAAGGAGAAAGTTAAAGAAAACTACTCAGAATTCATGGAGAAAACAAAACCACACTTTTGTTTAAAAGTAGAAATCATCGTCAAACTAACAAGAGGTCTCGATTAAAATCAAAAGTAGTTCAAAACAAAAGATAAAAACTTATCTCAAATCCTCCACCAAACTCTTGAAGTTTCTCTGAATCTCTTCTCTTTTACAACACTCTTGACTCTCACAATAAAACTAAAAAACAAAAAGAATAAAGTAAATTTGTGGTGCTTGAAAATCTTTTCAAAACTATCTCTCAAAACTCCCCCTTTTAAACACTTTTCAGAACTTTTAAGCACACTTTAAAAAGTCTCAACTTCCTTCTTTTATAAAATCCTTCTTTTATAAATCTCCAAGAGGTGTCTTGATAATTCTTCAAAATGTGTCTCAATTCAATGTATTCACCAAAGGATGCCTTTTTTTCACAAGTTTTTTAATCATATTTTTGTTTCTAGTGGACATAACCACCCTCTTTAGCCAATAGGTGCCTCAAATGTCCATTCGAAATTCAGTAAAATGAAGTAAACCGTCACATAACTGCCTCTGGCACTTAAGTGCGGGGCCTCTAGCGCTTAGGCGCGGCCTTCCTTGTTTCACCGGTGCTTAAGCGCCGGATCTGGCGTTGAGGCGCCAAAACACTTTTGCACCATTTTCACATTTTTGCTCCAAATTTGATCATTTTTCACTCTTTTTGGCATTTTTCACCTTTTTACTTGTACTTGAAAGAAAAACACAGAAATACCTTTCATTAAAGCGCAATATCTAAAAAATAGGTCTAAAAATATGTCTAAAAACACTATATATTTTAGGTGTATCAGACATACAACAACCTTTAGAATGTACTAACAATCTGCATTATATCTTCTCCATTTATTTTCGGAGGTAGCGAGGATTTTTTAATTTTGTTTTTTCTGAATGCATTTATGTTCCCTCTAAAGGATGTTCAACATCTAGAAACATACGGTGACAATCAAACCTTGAATTCTTCCTATCATGTTGAAGCTTAAAAGCCTTAGATGAATTCATGCAGTTTGGGTAGGCTAACTTTCCAACGATGCTCGATCCAGATAACATTTCATGTGCAGGAAAATCACTTATTGTCCACATTAATGTTGATTTCTTCGAAAAATTGTGTTTTCTTAGACGTTACACATCATAACACATATTTCCTAAAGAATCAACGTGTGAAAATATAAATCAATCTTTCCTTTAGGGAAATTGGGACCGGCTATAATTGGTGTCAAGAAGAAGAAAGGGGTTGTCATGCGCATCCCCGGTGGCAAATTGTATGGCGTTACAATCACCGGCCAA